TTAGGTCCCTACATAGCCACACAAAGGACTAAACACAAAAGGAAATAACAAAGAAATAAAAACATATTTATAGGTATTAAGAATATTCCCTTGCCAAAGATACAAATCCCTTCAAAACAAACAAGTAAGTAAACAACACACAACTATTCTACTCGCTGTTGCCTACACAGGCAACAAGGGGAGGGGAGAAGGGGAGACCTGTCACACACTCATCCTCGATTTTCATTCGTTACCTATACATCCACGCAAAGGACTAGGTACAAAATCAGTAACATGAAAACATTTATATACATTTTTTTAAAAGTTTATACCCTGTCCTTTTCCCCTAACCACTACCCACCCAAATAATTCACCCCCCCAAAAAACCCCAGATTATAAAACTATTGCCCACGCAGGCAGTGAGGGAAGGGGAGCAGTGGAGATTTATCATACATCTGGACCTCCATGTTTCATTATGCACCTACAAGTCCCAGAAAAGGACTGGGTACTAAGTGAAATAATACACAAAATGTAGCAAACATTTATCTACATTAAAAAAAACAAAATATACATATATATACACCCAAATCTCCCCCCACCCCCACCCCTCAAAAAAAACCCTAAACATCTACTCTTCTACTATTGCCCACCAGGCAATAAGGAAAGGGGAGTAGGGGGGATTTTTCATAGACTCAATCTCAACTTTCATTACCTGAATACCTAAGTACCTAAATAGCCATGCAAAGGACTAGATTCAAAATGAAGTGAACACCAAAAAGAGGCAAAAACATTTATATAAATTTAAAAAATTACATGTCTTGTCAAGCCCATTCCCCATTAAAAATCTCAAAAACAAAAAACAAAAAACCAAGCCCTATAGCACTCTCATAGTACTGCCCACATACACAGGCTACAGGGAAAGGAAGAAAAGACTGATGACACCTCTGGACATAGGCTTCTGCATTACAGTGGATATCTGCAAGTCCAAACAAAAAATTGGGTTTGGAGTGAAAGAACAAAAAAAGCAGTAAACATTTATATACATTTTAAAAAATGCAAACCCAGAAGTCCCCCACCAGCCTGCCAAAAAAAAAATCTCTAAACAACTACGCTACCAGCCATTGCCCAGACAGGCAATAAGGGAAGGGAGAAGAGGAGATTTTTTTCATAGAATGTACCTTAATTTTCATCAGGTACCTAATGAAATGGAAAGGTCTAGGTACAAAATGAAGTAACAGATAAAAGGAACAAAAACATTTATATACATTTTATAAAGTACATATCCCCACCTTCCCAGGGGAGGCAGTGGTAGAGTAGAAAATAATCTAGACTACTCTCAAACTATTGCCCACAGAGGCAACATGGAAAGGGGAAAAGAGGAGATGTTCATACATCCGGACCTCCACGTCTCGTTAGGTACCTACACGTCCAAGCTCGGGACGGGGTACAAAATGGAATAACACAATGTAGTAATAAACATCATATATACAGTTTCCAAAAGTATATATCCTACCCCCCAAAACTTTGAAAAACCCAAACTACTTTAAAATTATTGCCTACATAGATAAAAAGGGAAAAGGAGAAGAGGAGACCGCTGTATACCCAGAACTCCATGGTTCATTAGGAACCTACATGTCCAAGTGAAGGACTGGGTATCCAACTAAATACTATAATAAGGAAGTAAAAACATGTATATACACTTAAAAAGTATTTACCCAATACCCACAAAAGAGCCCCTGAAACTAATCAACTACTCTACTAGCCATTGCCCACAGAGGCAATAAGGGAAGGGGACAAGAGGAGATTGTCATACATCCGGACCTCCACGTCTCATTCATTAGGTACTTCCACGTCCTATGAGAAGGACAGAGCACGAAATGAATTAGTAATACAAAGTAGTAGAAAATTTATTTATATACATTGAGTACATACCCCACTCTCTCCCACCCCACAAAACAAAACAAACTACTCTACTAGCTATTGCCCAAAGAGGCAATAAGGAAAAGGGAAAAGAGGAGATCTGTCATACTCTGAACTTCAATTTTCATTAAGTACCTATGCATCCATCCACACAAAGAAGCATGTATAAAATGAAATATAAAAAAGTAGCATAACATTTATATACACTTTCAAGAACGATATACAACCCTCTGCCTTCAAGACTAGATCAAAACAACAGCAACTACAACTCCTCCATTAGTTCATGTCCACACAGGCAATGAAGAGAAGGGTAATGGGACCTCCATGGTTCATTAGATATCTACATACCCACGAGAAGGATGAGGGAAGTACAAAATGAAACGCCAACCACAAAATAGCAGCAAACACATTTGTATACATTTTTAAAAGAACATACTCCCCTCTCCTCCCAATATCACCATCTCCTTCCAAAAAAGGAAATCAAATAACTACTCTGTAGCTGTTGCCCACACAGGCAATATGGGAAGGGCAAATGAGATTTTCATAGGAAAATATTTCTGTTTTAATCAGGAAAAAATAGACAAAATGAAAATATAAAAACATATCTGTACATTTTTTAAGTATACAGCCCCAAAAAGTCACACAAAGAAATCAATCAACAACTGTATGAGCTACTGCCCATGCAGGCAATGAGGGAAAGGGAGAGAGGAGAGTTATACGTTCGGACCTCCGCTTTTCATTTGGTACTTAGTTGCCAATGCAGAGAATGAAATATAAAGTAAAAGAATGCAAAAAACAGCAAAAATATATACCTTAGTTTTGAAAAGTACAAACAGAGGGGTGTGTGTGGGCGGGGTGGTGAGGAGGAAGCTCTTTAAAAAGAGAGTTAATTCCAATAAAAACAAAAACAACAAAGGCAAAGGATGGAAGAAGAGCTACATCATACCTATGAAATTCAGGTCCAGTTTTGCAAACTCAGCTCAGGAACTGCTGTCCTTGGTGATGACACCTCTCCTGAGACACATGCACCTTCCCTGCAGCCCCATGAAAAGCATGGGGATTATGTGAAGGTTCAGCAAGCTGACTGCAGACTATTGTTCCCGGTGCTTTAGTCTGAGTAGACTCTTAAAATCCAACTCAATAACAGGCTATCAGTAATCCAACCAACTCAGCACTCGACTTTCATTTCCTACTTTCCAATACTCAGAAAGGTTTCTGCTCTGTACCCAGTGAGGCTGAGGCAGCTGACACCCTCTGCGTACCCAGGACTCTTCTGATAGCTCCTTTGTTCCTACAGTGGCTAGAGTACAATAACATGAAAACATGAATGGCAAAGGATAAAGAGTAAGTAGAACCTGCGATAGTAAGAAAGTTCATGAACACCGAAATGGCAAACCACACAATTTCACTTAGAGAGACTTAGATACAACAAGATGGAGGAAGGCCCAAGCTTATGGTGGAAGCTGACACTACTTGCAGTTTAATGAAGCTAATCACTAGATATTAACAGAACAAACTGGACTCCTTAGGTTTCTACTTTCATAGCTTTCCTGACCTCCAAAGCACAAGCTTTTCCTCTACAATTCCCGATTTCCAATCCCATCTTTCCTAGTAATCTAGTGTGACGTGCCTTTTAAACTACATTCAAGAAGACAGTCTCTGCAGTGAATATAATGCGTGTCACATAAGTACCTAATTGTGTCGTGGATCTATGTGCTTATATAAAAAAGCATACTGTGACTGCTATGCTTCAATCTATGTGAGTTCTCACAAATACAGTGGCTACAATCAAGTTTTGGGGAGAAAAACTTCAAAAGCTGCAATTATACTTATTATACACATGTTCTAGTTATTATTTAATCATATAGTCCTGTCCTGGGTTAGCTTTTAGAAGTCCCATGTAGATGGGTTAGCGTAACATTGCAAATTATGGAATTCTGTGGGAAAATTTGAGGTAACGCCTACTAAAACTACAAATACTTGAGGTGAAGCCTATAAATAAAGCTGCAAATAGTAGGGTACCAGGGGAATGAACGGCTTTTGAGTACACAGATAGCAATGGATAACGAGCTACCTTTTTTGTAGCCCATGTTTTGGAAAGGTTTTACTTATAACAACATCCCCCACTCCACCCTCCACATACACACTCACAGGAAAAAATGATGTGATTTGAGACAAGATTTGCCGTATACAGAGTCGACATACATCACAGGAGCAATGTAAATATGGGCAGGTAAAAGTGAAGAATCTTAACTAATTTTGAGAAGTAGCAAAATTTAAACTCTGTATCAAAGTGGAATTTAGTAATATAACATGGTAAAAAACCAGCAACAAAAAACCCTTCAAAAGTTTAGTATTTGTTCCCACTCTAAAAATATAAAAACACACTAACTTTCAATATCAACTAAATAATCATTCATTTACTGAAGCACAAGAGGAATAAAGACCTATAATCTCCCCAGTTTCAATAAGACATCTTTAGATGATTCTGTGATTCTCAGGATATAATATTTTCTGCTCTAAAACAGAGAAACGTTGTTTAGAAAAGACTAAATTGGGGGAAAACACACTAGTAACAAAGAAGGCTATCTTTTAGCTTACCACCCTTTTAAATTTTGTTATATAAAAATATTTTCATAAAATAAAATATAATTTTGTACACAATCCCACATATTCTCACTTTACACCTACTGAATACAAAAAGGTGACCTTTCCCATTGCCTGATTCTATGGAGTGTTATAAGTGCTTGCAAATGGGTAACTACCCTTTTTATGTACATAAAAGATGTTTTCAAACAAAATATAAAGTACTCAAGAATTATTAGGAAGAAAGCTTTTCTCCTAACAATCAAAGAAACACAACAATCTAGGTATAAGTCTGCATAGCTCAAAAAGTTCAAGTACAGTATTTCTCCTTCAGAAGGAGTAAAAATGCCATACAGTTTTGGATATCTTCCCTCATTTTACTTTCTTTCTTGCCTTGGCCATTCCTTTTAATCTGTTAGTTTGGCCATGATAAAAGAAAACTATAATTTTTTAACTAAAGAAAAGTACTGTTTTTGATAGTAGAAAAAATTCAAAGCCCACCATATTAAACCTGAATCAAGTTACTCCTATCCCACATTCCCTTTATTTCTTTAAGGTACTATGGTGAACTTCAAACAAAAAGGGTGAATTTCTCAAAGGCCCTATTCTAAAATATGCTTCTAATATGCTACTCTATCATATAAAACGAAAATCCACCCATGGGTATGATTCAGAGAGAAAGTGTCCATGATCTATCATGCCAAAAGGCAACTTAAACAAACTGTATGCTTAGCAATAGTGATAGTCATGATAAAACACACCAGTCTTAACAAAATGCTTGCCATAAATGTAAAAAAAACTTATTTATAACATAAGGTGTATCTAGGGTAGGGAGTGATAAAGGTGTACTCATTTGGAGAATATTGTAATTCATGAATAAGATAATTAAAGCTAACTCAGATTGAAATGTTTTCCTAACAGATGAAAAAGAAAATGTTAAATATTTGGAAAATGTAATCTTTTGGCCTTGCTATTTAGCTTTTTAATACAACAAAAATTTAAAAATTCTGTAGCACCTGGCTATTCAGCAGAAAACAATATAACAGTTGAAGATCTTATTTAAACTTTTGCAGAAAATAAAGGATTAATCAAAACCCCCAAAGTAGATCTGCACACCTGAGATCAGTTCTCTACCGCTGCGTGCTTCATCGACCTCATCACCATACATTTTGAAGCTAACTTTGTACCACATTCATATAACATCTATCAACAAGAAGCAACAAATGGCTGACAAACCAGCAGCCTGCACAGTTGGTGGCTCCTATGGGAGATCTTTTCTTGTTTCACATTGTCAGTACTTTCCAGATACTGACAAATAGAATAGAATCCCAAAACAGATTTTTTCCCCATTTGAGTATCTTCAAAGTAGAAAAATTACTCATTGTTTTTGTAGATGGTTGGCATATAGGTGAAGATAATTTTGTAATAAATAATTACATACTGCCCAAAGACGTTTCAGACAAGACAGATGAAACACACAGGCGGGCCCTGAGCTAACTAGAACTCCTGAGAGTGCAAGCAACTCGGCAGCGATCCTGGCTTCACCTGGGCTTTTGCAAAAGCAGCAGAGCCCAAGTCCACAAGCTCTCTGAATGGGCGACAAGAGGACGTGCGGGGTGTGTGCTACAGCCACTGCGTCAGAGTTTTAAGGTTCTTCTCCATCCACTGGATATTCAACTGAATGACCTCCAAAGCCTCCTGGACACAGCGCAGCCGAAAGGTTGCCTCTGACTGATTTTCAAAGAATGCCCGGACCTGTAAGTTGCACACAGAAGTATTTCAAAAGAAGAACAGAACAGTAAATCTCAGGTAACTCTGAATATCCTTTTCAAATGAGCTTTAAGTCAGTGATGGCTGTGCTGATGTCTTGAAAGAAGCAGAAACAAGTACTTTAATATTCGAGGTATTTACATCGAGTCCCTGATCAAGTATAGTAAAATCTGAAGTAATTTTAAGAATGAATTCCCCTTACTCCCACGAGGATGAATTTTTCAAATTTAAAATAGAAAAAAATAATGAATCAGAGTCTAAAGTTAGGTTTGGTGCCCAATTTTGCCCTTTGAATGGAAATCTACAAAACGATTTTATTACCACTTAAAAAGAAACCTGGCATATGCTGGTCTTAATTTAAAAAAATTATTTGTGTCAGGAAGACAAGGTAATATTGTTGAGAATGGAATCCTCACCAGAATTTTTCCTCATTGCTATATATCCATCCTTTAGAAGTAATCTCAATGCAGAATCTTAGTATTGATGAAGGCAGACAGAGAGAAGGTATAGGAACTGGCAGGAGAAGCCACCAGCTGACTTAAACTGAGCAGTCTGAGGGGAAAGGGTTACCCAGTCTCCCTACTAGCACATTTTATACAACCAACCTCAGACAAGTGTGCCTTTGTTGAAAACAGGTGAGTTGACCCGGCAACAATACTTTGCATGGTATAGGACCCCAGATGGAACCTGAAGAAACACAAACACAAGCACAAAAAGACAAAAAAATGTGGCAGCTGCTGGTAAGCAAAGTTCCTGACTGCAAAGGAAATGCTTTACTGTAAGCTACACATGCCAAAGGCAGAGTAGAGTCGTGCTCCTGGGAACTGCCTCTCAGTCAATCAAGAGCAGTCCTACACACGTACTGCCCGTGAGAAGGAAAGGTGGGCAGAAAAAGGCAGGAGTTAGGGATATGCCAATAAATTACTAATCCATTTAATCTACTCAAAAATCACATCCTATACACCCAGAAATGTCATTATTGCTTTAAAAGAAAGAAATCTAGATGTGCTATCTAGCTAGGAGTGGGTTCTTAACCAATCCCTTCGCAATGACGAGGTATTTTTGAACATGCAAAACTACGCAGCTATTTTGAAACAGTCCGTGGCCATGCTGAGCTCAGTGAGCTGGTGTCAGGCATGGCTGGCTTGATCAGTACTCAAATGGAACACCACTGTTAAATGACTCACGTTATGGAATCATGTTTACTGAAGTAAAAATTTCTGGGTGTTTCAGTTAAACTATCACTGAAGCACTTTTCCTCCTACAGCAAATTGTAACTCCTGTAAACCACCAATACAACATTGGGAACTTTTTTCAAATGCAGAGCCTGAGAATACTAAAAGCTACTAATCCTCTGAGAAACTTACTTCTGTACAAGCTTATTCCAGTTCTCTTTGACAAAATCCCACACCAGTAAGTGTCCAGGAAAACGTCGGCCCACTGTTCTAATGACAAATGACAGCTTTTGTGTTCGGATGATATCTCCATTGAGGCTAGTTTTCATTAACCTGAAGAGCAAAGCATATTTAGCTTCCAAAATAGTTATTCATGATGAGATGATTGAACTTAAATTAGTATTGGTCTCTTAATTAAATCTCTATAGCAATTCAAGGGATACAAGTTTTGCATTAGTCTAAGATTAATCAATAGATTGAAAACGTCATTTTTTTACATGAAGGAAGAGCTCACTAATGAGAAAGGAACATACATATACTGTCACATAATCATGAATAGTTCTTGATGGAGTAAGTACATTTAGGAAATAAATTCTGGTAGAATTTATTATAATTCTGAAGACTGGTGTTTTTTTCTGTTAAAAACCTTATTTGATTTGAGTAGGCAGGTATATTATCTCTCTTAAAAAACTGGGCTGTTTGAATGATGTGCAAATGAAGATACATTTTTGAATATACTCTTAATATTAACAGTTAACATTTATTGATACTTCACATGTACTAGATAATGTTCTAAATTCTTGACATAACAATGCTTGAAATAATTATTACCTATCCTCATTTTATAGCTTAAGAAACTGAGGTTATGTAATCGCCCAGTTTCACAGCTAACAAATACTAAAGCCTGGCATTCGAACATAAGCAGGTCTCATCTACTATGCTATAATATCTGCTTATAGTGAGAAAACACAAACCCTAAAAAGAATGCAGCAGTATTTTTAACAGGTGAAAAACCCAAACGTCCATCAAGATGTGATGGGTTAAATAATGATAGAGCCATACTATGGAATACCATGCAGCCATAAAAACAAATGAAGTAGGCTTTATGAACTGACACAGCAAATCTCAAAGACTGATCATTCACTAAAAAGAACATCACAAAACATTGGGTGTAGTATAAACCTATGTTTATGTATATAAATATACAGACCAGGACTGACACTTAGGAGAGAGAGTAAGAACGGATCATATGTGAGATACTTTCACATTTTATTCCATTTTCCTAGGTGCTGTTAAAATACTTTATAATGGGAATTTATTAGTGTATTACTAGTTTAAAATAAAATTACTACTAATTTAAAAACAAAAACTTTTCTCTATTTGCTTGAGTCAGAGGCTGGCTACTACTTTAAAGAAAATGCCTATTTACAGTGTATTCTTTGGAAAGTGGGTCTGGGCAAGTGCTAAGGACATCTCTGGGACACTATTAGGACTTATCTGAGCAAAATGATACAAGAGAAGCAATGAGACCCAAGTGCTTCCCTCTCCCCTTCCCGGTGTTGACGTTCAAGATACTTTCATAGTTCTCTTGGCTACTTACAGCCCCTCTTCCCCACCACTGAGTGTTCTTCCTGTCAGGAGGCCCTACTTACTGCCCTTCTTTCCCCATGTGAAACTCCCATTTCCAGGCCTTCATAAGCTGAATATTAAGAAGGAAAAGTCTGACAAATTCAAATGAAGGCACAACCTGTAAGCTTTTACATGTTACCTTTTTCTGAAGCGTCTGCATTTTCAAAATGACACCTATGACAGCTTAGACAGAGCAATGCTTTGACCAAAACGAATGAAGCACTGACTGTGGAATTAAAGACAATGTGCCAAGGGGATGAAGGAGTTTTTAAGAAGAAAGTAGAAGCTGGTGGTGATTCTTGGCATCTCTCAACCTCTTTTGAGCAGAGCACTTTCTTCCTATTTGAACAGGTCCAGTCCCTGAGATGAAGCCCAGCACCTGCGGGCTCCTCGCCGCACAGTTCAAGTCAGGTCTGGCCTGGGAGTAAAGGAAGGGAAAGAAAGATCCCAGAGAAAATGAGCTTCCCACCCTAGGAGCACAATGCTTTTATGCTTTTGGTTTCTATATATCATATTCCTTGGGTAGTTTCATACCAGTAAAGTTTCCGTACATCCTCTGAGCTGGCAAGAGCTTCAAGTATTTTATTTTTCTCTGCTTCAGAGCCTATAGAGATGTACTTGCTTAAGAGGAATAACCAGCCTCGTTCAGTTTTTGCTCCAACTTTGAACACAGTAGTCATGACATCAGTAGGTAGGCTGTAAGAGAGGTGGTCAAACATGAGAACAACAGAAAATCCTAAATACAAAGGCAAGGAATTGACTAGTGGTGGTGTTTTTGGGGTCAAAGGAAGTAATAATTAGAAGAGTTTTTACTGTATAACTAATAATCAAGAAAATTTTTAATTCAGTGGCTGCCACTTTCCTAGTGGTATGACTCTAAAGAATATCTATTCAATTTAGTACAATAATTATTCACTAAGCACCCATAAAGAACTAGGCAGGCAACTGGCTGGATGCTGGGGAGGGAAGAGGAGTGAGACAGTCTCTGCCCCCTAGGAACTCACAGGCGATCACAAAGTACAGAACAATAAATGTACACATTATAACACAGTGTGATAAGTTCCAGGATAGACATATAGCAGCAAATGTTGGGGCGGGGCGGTGGGGGGGAAGAGGGGAAGAGGCACAGTTTTGTGCCTTTATTAAGATTTCAGAGCTGGAAAGGACCTCAACAGGTTATCCAAATCCACCACCCCAACTCTTCATCTGACGCTTGAACCTTTTTCTATAACACTCAGTAAGGAACCTGGAGAGAACCAATCATCATCAAAAACATGTCTACTAACTGCCAACTCCACCGGCTCTGCTTTATTCCTAAATTAAAAGACTTGTTTGACACCTCACACCCATTAGGATGGCTCCCATCAAAAATCCAGAAAATAGGGCAGGACCCGTGGCTTAGCGGTTAAGTGCACGCGCTCCACTGCTGGCGGCCCAGGTTTGGATCCTGGGCGCGCACCGATGCACCGCTTGTCCGGCCATGCTGAGGCCGCGTCCCACATACAGCAACTAGAAGGATGTGCAGCTGTGACATACAACTATCTACTGGGGCTTTGGGGGAAAAAAATAAAATAAATAAAATTAAAAAAAAAAAAATCCAGAAAATAACAAGTGTTGGTGAGGATGTGGAGAAACTGGGACCCTGGTGCACTGTTGGTGGGAATTAAACTGGAGCAGCCACTGAAAGCAGTATGGCAGTTCCTCAAAAAATTAAAAATAGAACTATCATATGATCTAGCAATTCCACTTCAGGGTATACATCTGAAAGAAGTGAAAGTAGAGTCTCTAAGAGATATTTGTACACCCATGTCCATAGCAGTGTTATTCATAAGAGCCAAAGGTGGAAGCAATCCAAATATCTACCAGTGGATGAATGTGGTATATACATACAATGGATTATTCTGCCTTAAAAAGGAAGGAAATTCTGACACATGCTACAACATGGATGCACCTCAAGGACACTATGTTAAGTGAAATAAGCTAGTCACAAAAGGACAAATATTGTATGATTTCACTTATACGAGGTATTTAGAGCAGTAAAACTCATAAAACAGAAAGTAGAATGGTGGTTGCCAGGGATTGGGGGGAAGGAAAATGGGGAGTTGTTGTTTGGGTAGAGTTTCAGTTTTGCAAGATAAAAAAGTTCTGGAGATTCACTGTACAACAATTTGAATATACTTACACTACTGAATTGTACATTCAAAAATTAAGATAGTAAATTTTATGTTATACGTATTATGCTACAATTTTAAAATAACAGTCTTGTTTGAGAACACAGGTAAACAGAGTTCACCTACATTAACACTCAGTTTTATAACATTTATGGCCCAGGATGAGAAGATCCTGGTTTCAGTATGGTAAAGAGGAAGAGAGTTCATTTGAGTAGAAGCACATGTCACCTTTGAGTTCCATTGGATGCCACCCAATCGTCAAATAGTTTCATGGCAGTAGTGCTGCAGTTCTCTAGGCTGTGGGTGCAAGCAAATTCTAGCAAGACTGACCGAAGCTCTCGAAGAGATGGGGTGCCCTCATCAGTCCACGTTTGCTGTTGGATTTGGCTTTGAAGCAATTTAAATACCCTGGTCTAGAGAGATAAGATGGATTATAATGGAATAATAATAATTAGGAAAACCAGAAAAATCAGGACAACTAGATCTCTTTTTCCCAAAATTTACCAAAGGAGAAAAAAAAGAGGGGCATAGATATTCCTCATTAAATATCAACTGACACATGAAACTCACATACAGCTGGGATGAAACCATTCAATAACAATGGCTATATACATAGGGCTGCTATAGCCAAGGGGGACTTTTAATGACAGAACACAAAAAGAATTAATGACTTCTGTGCACTAGGAAACCTTTCTTCTGTGTGTACTCAGCTAGAAGTTATTTTCCTGCCAAAAAGTATCACCTACAACCATTGCTAGAAGGAAGATGGAACTTCCTGATCTCAGGACTTTAGGATCCATAAATCCATAAAGCAATGAGAGAAAAATATACTTCTTTACTAATGGGTAGATGTTTAAATGTTTCTGAATCCAATATTAAGGGAATATTTAAAATATCAACTAGTTTGATGCTACAACAAATTAATCTAATCAAATTAGCAAACCAATGAAACCTACAGGGAAGAATAGTTGTTTATAGTTATTTTTTCTATCCCTCAAATTCTCATTTAAAAATTTTTCGAACCTACAGAAAAGCTACAAGAATAGTACCATGAACACTCATACGCTAGATTCACAGGTTTTTAACACTCTTACATTTGCTTTATTTCTATGTGTGTATAACACACATACAGACATTTGTTTTTCTGGTTTTAGCTGAGCCACATGAAAGTAAGTCACAGATATCATATTTCATTTATAAATATTTAGCATGCAACTCCCAGAAATAAGGACATTTTCCTACATAACCATAATAGCTTATCATCTTAAGAAAGTTAACAGTTATTCAGTAATATCATCTACTATTCAGTCCATTCCTATAGTTACTTCTGAATGAGAAGTCATTCTTAAATGTATACTTAACGATATTAAGAAACCAACAAATCTCTTATTTTTCTTTCATCTCTCCCCACAACAAAAGCATAGAAGCTGTTCATAGGATATGGAAGTACTGTCATATTGCAAGCTATGGTGCATGGGGAGGCATGAGGCCACGTGGGATTTAAAAAAATCATCATATGAAATATGCATGTATGAATGCCACTAAAAGGAACAAGAATTCCAATATAAAAATGCTTATAGGTATCTTTTAGAAAACTTTCGTGGCTATCAATAAGGAGAATCAAAATGAAAAAATTTACAGGCATGCCCCACCCACAGGGTTCTCAGCACAGGGGGATTTCTTCCCACTGGGACTTCCTGAACACCATCACCATTGTCATGTCTCATCTCAAGTCGTCAAGTACCACAGATGACCACACGCAAAAAACTCAACCTCAGAAAATTAACTCAGGTACTTCAGAGAGCATTATACTCTTCCAGAGTGCCACTCTCAGTACCTAAAATGAATCCTAGTTGGAGAGTTGTCAACTGCTGAGGCCATTTTCTCAGCAGAGCTTCTCTGAATAAGTCTCTCACGGAGCTGACTATACGAATGGAAAAAAGAATCTGTGCAAGGAGGACTCAAAGTTTGTAATAATATGTCAACTCGCTTTTGTCTGCTTCAAAAGCAGTGAAATAAAGAACAGACACCTTGTGGAATGTGTGAGCAACAAAGCTTGCGAGTCATCAGGAGGACAGGAAGTGGAAAAATGCTTGCCACGCTGACTGATAATGCAAGGAACCTAAGAGCAATGCAGCAGACCCTACTGGATACACATGACTGCATTGGGGCATGCTGCCTTCCACTGGCCTGACCTTCTCAACAGCATCATGATAGCACCATCCCAAATGAATGAAGAATACAAGAAATTTAAAAGAGTCAAATAGAAACAAAGGAAAAATGAGAGAAAAAGAGTTATGTTTGAAATACTATTAAAAAAATCTCAGTGGAGCAAAATGGCAATGCTCCTTGAGAGTTTACTAAAACATAAAGAAGCCAGTGGAAAAAAATGGCACTTTAAAATACTGGAAGCAAGGAAAACCTGACACTGAAGATGCCGAGGCTAATTCCAGAGTGGTCACTCCATCGGAATTATGGGGTACAATTTTACTAGTTTTTCCCTGCACCATACAGTCAAGAGGAATTCCCCAAGCAGTTGATTTTAAATGTATTTCAAATGATAACATAATAGAGCAAAAGATTTTATTGAAAAAAAAACTCTGTTTTTAGAAAATTCCTGCTGGTTATAAAATATTTTTATAAGTAATCCAGGTTATGTTTTTAATATTAATAAACCATAGCAAGCGTTTCAAATTACCTTTCCCTTTTAGAAATAAAATTAAACCTGTTTTTCACGGTTCTAAATTAATTTTTTGAAATTTAAATTCATTAAACAATAGAATCCAATCCTCTGATTTCATAAAGTGCAAAGGACAAGTGGGGAGAGAGAATAAATTGATGGGTTATACAAGCTACAAACATTGGATATGCAATAAAATGCAACAATAATAACACAAAATGATTTAAAAAATAAAACAGACAGGGAAAGATTCTGGCACTTATGTACGTATTACATTTTGATTTACTGCTTTAATTTTACACTGAGATGCCCAGGGAGTTCTTTCTTGGATCAACAGAGCTTCTTAAAAGTGAAGTGCCAGCTTTTATTACAAAAGGTTTATCCCACCAACCCTTCAGATATAAAAGAATGACAGACTTAGAAGTGATGAAACAGGAATATGGCTGGGATCAGATGCTAACATCAGATGTGAACAATCTGACAGAATTCAAATGCGCCTCCAGACCCTACCCACCACAGGACTACAGCACACACCACAAAATGTGATATAAAAGTATGTATGTAGGTATGTGCAGCCTACATAACAAAATGACCAATAAATGCACACAATGCTCTGCTGACAATGACATAAAAAATTAATTAGACACCAGTCTTAATCACATATACTATTTGAAGATTGGATCCAAGGACTCAGAAATATCTGTCATTCCAATATCTGACTGCAGTGTGTCAGATTTCATATTTTGAGAGTTTTGATGCTACCAGCATGCCCTAAGATTAGAATAAGAATTTTTTTTTCTTGGTGCAGGAGATCAGCCCTGAGCTAACATCCGATGTTGATCCTCCTCTTTTTTGCCAAGGAAGATTGGCCCTGAGCTAACTTCTGTGTCCATTTTCCTCTACTTTATATGGGACGCTGCCACAGCATGGCGTGACAAGCAGTGTGCGCCCAGGATGCGAACCTGCGAACCCCGGGCTGCCACAGCTTGTGCCACCGGGCCGGCCCCTAGAATAAGAATTTTAAAGAGACAATTTCTCCCTCTTGATGAACCAGAGCTAACCTGACTTTGAACTAACAATCAAGTATATGAAGATCTACAGCAGGGAAAGGGCTGCGGTCTCACAAATTCGTACTAAGCCTCCTGCCCCTGCCCTCTAACCATCGGTCCTGCTGGACCCCACCCTGAAGTATGTTCTTAAACACATACCTGCCCAGCAAACTGGAAATCATCATCTGGGATGAGGATGCAGAGTTACTTAAGTGTCACAGTAGGAAAATATTCAAAAGGTCTAACTTCTTGAATTGAGTTTAGCGTCTGTGTTCTCAGCACAGGGATAGCTTGAGGTAAGCATCAAGTGCTTCTTGACATTAGGCGCTCAACAGTTAATGGAAAGAGGCAGAGGGCAGAATGGCTTCTGCCATCATGAAGTTTACCTAGCTGGGCAGCTTCAGAGTAAGCAGATATTCTGCCTCCTCTTAGGGTATATTCAGTACCAACACTGTCCTTTAATAGTGAAAAAAAGTGAGTGATAGGTACTAATGTTATTTATTGCTACTTATACTGAGTTGAATAGTGTCCCCCTAAAATTCATGTCTGCTTGGAACCTGTGAATGTGACCTTATTTGGGAATAGAGTTTTCGCAGATATAATCAAGTTAAGATGAGGTCATACTGGATTACAGTGGGCCCCAATGACAGGTGTCCTTACAAGAACAGGGAAATTTGGACACAGAAACACAGGGAGAATGTCATCTGAAGACAGAGGCAGAGATTGTAGTGATGCATCTACAAACTAAGGAATGCCAAGGATTGCTGGCAACAATCTGAAGATAGGAGAGACACATGGAACAGATTCTCCTCAGAAGGAACCAATCCTGCCCTGCCAACACCTTGATTTTGGCCTTCTAGTTTCCAGAACTGTGAGAGAATAAATTTCTGTTGTTTAAGACACGAAGTTTGTAATAATTTATTACGACAGCCCTAGGAAACTAATATACTACCCCAAATGGTGTTGATTTGATATAGCACTAATAACCCCCAAAGTAATTATAGAAATTCTATAATAAAAAATATGTTATACAATGAAGTAAACTGGTGCTGGATCAATTGGATATCCATATTGAAAAACAATGAATCTTTATCTACCTCACACCATATACAAAAAGCAATTCCAGATGGATCCTTACACCACACACAAAAATCAATTCCTCACACCATATACAAAAATCAATTCCAACTAAGTACCTTTACTTAAATGTAAAAGGAAAAACAAGCAAGTTTTCAGAAGAGAACACAGGAGAATATCTTGGAGTATGCAGATTTCATACACTAAAATAATTTATGCTCATCAAAAAATATCATTAAGAGATGAAAAAGTAAGCCAGAGTGGAAGAAGATATTTGCAAGTATACATGATCAACAAAAGACTCATACTTAGAATATATAAAGAACTCTTACAAATCAATAAGAAAAAGGCAGACAATCCGATAGAAACATAAATGAAAGACTTGGGCACTTCAAAAAAGAGAACATCCAGAGGTCAATAAACATATCAAAAGGAATTCATCTTCACTAGTGATTAGGGAAATACAAATTAAAGCTAAAATTGCAATGCCACTCTGTACCCATCCGAATGGCTGAAAGGAAAAAGATTTACTATTAATACTAAGTGTTTGCAAGGATATAGAGCCAGAATGGAACTCGAATTCTCATACACTTCTCATGGAGTGTAAATTGGTAAAATCTGGAAAAAAGTGTTGGTTGTACAGTATTAACTATGCATCTGCTATGACTCAGTAATTCCAGTGTCAGACAGATACCCTATAGAAACGCATACAGATATTCACCAAAGATAACGTACAAGAATATTCACAGCAATGCTATTCGCAATAGCTCCAAACTGCAAACAACCCAAATGTCCATCCACAGTAGTCACAGTGCCTAATAAATGGCCAAGGTTTTTAATACACTAACGGCAGAAAGTCTGTGTTGGATTGTAAGTTTGCCCTAAAGAGACCAATAAGTTATTTGCATACTATTTGGAAATGCACATAAATATTAAAAAAAATACTATTACTAACATTTTGGATATAAAACAAATCTCAAATATAAGTTGACAACTTCATTTCCAAGACAATAACTAGATGTGGGTCTGTCATTTTAAACCTTAAACACATGGTCTACAAGCTTTTCAAACTCTTTTAATTTAAAATCTCAGTTTAAAAAAGAAAAAAAATGATAGCAAGAAATAAACAGCTTTGCTTTTTCCAACAAAAAGGTATCCTTTGAAAGACAGCTAGCACACAAATTAATTAATTTAAGATAAAGCAACATAACATAAAGAGTAGGCTTTGGAGTGAAACTAAGCTGGGTTTGAATCTCAGCTTTATAATTTACTAGGTAAGTGACTTTGGGGAAGTTATTTAGTCTCATTTATCTAATGGGGGTAGAAATATTTATTTGGCATTGTGTGAGGATTAAACAAGGTAATCTTCATTAAGCACTAAGTATGGTGTGAAGAACATAAGGGGCACTGAAATGCACTTGTTTCTGGTGAGTTGCACTCATTTATTCATTCAACATTTACTGAGTGTCACTATGGGCCAGGTCACATTCCATGCCCTGGTTTTTATTAAGGCTGGTAGTTGAAAGCCTTATGAAATAGAAGAATGATAAAAATCTTAACAGTTAGAAGACACCTCAGACTTCATTTAACTTAAGCATTTCACTTATGGGTAGTAGGTTAGGGGTGGCTCCTTTGGGGTCAGATCAGAAACTTGTGCAGAAGAGTGCTTTTCAAGCTCCATATGGGCCCCCTGGCCGGCATTCCCTCCCGCACTGAGAATCATGCATGTGTGAGAGAACTCATCACAGGGGATGAGCAGTAAGACAGTAAGAGTGGCAGACAGGAGGTTGTGAAAAAATAAAAAAAGATGTAATCCAACCCCTTCCTTTTATCAAGGAGGACACCAAGACCCTAAAAACTTATTCTAATTCCAGGTCTAACGCTTTCCTCCTTTTCCTGAAAGCTGCCTTTTGCCTGGTCCCTGGAAAATCTGACTAGTTTATAAAGCAAACTCTGTTGTCAGAATGTGCTGATTCAGAGAATTAGATAAAACAAAGAATTCATCACTCCCTCCCAAGCTTTTAAAGACTCGGTCAACAGTTTAATAATGCAAGTGTCTGAAATAACAACTATTAAGATCAGCTAATTGGTTTTAAAACAGCCAAAGCAGCCTCCAACACCAAGACTCCTTTAGTGCTTTGCAGAGAAACTTATATCCACCAGCATCATCATCCATAAGATAGGTTATTGGTAAGGACTCCTAAAATAGAATATTCTCAATAAAATATAACTGTTATTTTATAATGACTACTAGGAAATTACTGGAGAGCACTACTTTGCAAAAAGGCCCATTTCAAGCATTTATTATACAAAAATAAACTAGGATTTGAATAGAGAAATTTTCTTTACATGTGACCCCATTTTGACAGCAGTGTCAGAGTCTATATTTTGATACTCAAACAAGACCACGTCATGCTAAGCCTTTATCAATTCTTCATGATAAGCAGTGACACTTTGATTCAAAGTAAAGATTTCACAAATAGGAAAGTGAAGAAAATGGAATTCAACTGGTTGTTTTTTCAGCCTATTACTGCCGAATGGAGCTGTGAATAATAATCATAGACAAGCAACCCAGAAGTTGGTAAAAAGGCAGACTCACCACCAGTCTTGAGGCCAGATCCATGTATCCCAGTTTTTCAAGGAGGTTATAGATGAGGCCCGTTTGGAATAGGGCTTCAGTGATGGGTGCGGTAGAGGTCTCATTTCCAAGATAATCAATCAAATCAAAGGCCCTCTGAAGAGGCACCTTGCCTAGGCTAAACGGTAAAAGAACAGAAAAAGTAAATGTGCTGAGACAGGAAGATGAACTCTATGCATGCTGAGAGAGAAATTTTATGGCTAGATGGTGAGTCTTGAAGACCTAAAATTTAAGCTTAGAGTGGCATTCTGTAAAGTTACCCTAAATACTATTATTTTTTACTTAAGTTCATGTGTGTGACCCAAGGTTAAAGACATATTTCAGGAGAAAGATAAACAATAGCTCAGTTTTTATTCCATAAGTCACCTGTAAACTGCTACTGACTCAGGAAAAGCACTACAATGTCTTAGGTGAGAAAAGACGAAGAGTACTAATTTTACTTATTTATTAATTGCTTATATTTACCAGGTGAGAGCAGGTGGCATAAAGAAGATTTGAATCAGAAAGAAAATTTTTTATTTGTTATTTGTACTTGAATTTGTCAAACTTGTTAAGGCAAGGTCCACTGTTAACTTATGTGAGTACATTTTAAAAATGAACCATTTATAGAAATCATAACAATGATGGCTGAGACACTAGGTCACTGCCATTCTTAGCTTTGGGATTCTGTAACACACGGGGGGGTTGGGGAGGCAAGTGGTACACAAAAAAAGAGGCTCCAGCTATCAGAGATGTCCCTCAAACCAGTGGCCAAGCACTAAGCTTCACAATTAAACCAACTGCTGCTTGAGAAGAATTCTCTCATGAAATAAAACAAAGCTTGAACTCCTGCATCAATTTATTCAGCATATATGTGTCCTGCTTGTTGGTATCTACAGTATTGAAGTATTATTTAAATCTTGTTATTTAACTGTTCAATATGTGTGTAGTTGATGTTTCTATATACATTATAAAGCCCTTGAAGGCAAGGAATATGTCTTATATTTTTCCAATCCTCCAAAATGAATTATACCTAACAGGCAATACATGCTAGTTCTTTTGAGCTGTTTTTCTAAAACGTTCTTTTCCTCAATAACACTCGTTTAAAAAAACCCCACAAAACCCAAACCAAGCATACTCTACCCTGCAAGTTCAAAGATGTTGTTGATGAGGTTGGCTCGGTCTTTGTCACTGAGGACATAAGGATTTGTTTTCAACTGTTTGATTAGTGCTTCCCAGTCGTCATCTGCATAATGTACAATATAATAGCCACTCATGTTTGTATTGACTTTGACCCACTGCACTTCTTCTGTAAGATTGATGACACCTAATACAGACCAAAAAATGAGAGAGAGAGAGAGAGAAGACAATGGGGCAAGAAAAAATATTAAATGGATGCTTTGTATGTTTCAAAGTTAATATGGTATATTTTTATATTTAATTATTCTTCTAAGAAACTAAATGTCTGCCTCCCAGTGCAGTTATTCTAATGTTAACGAAGATCACCATTCATTCATTTAACAATGATTTATTTAATGGTGAACAAGGTAAATATGTCCCTTCTCTCATAGATCTTACAGTCTAATGTAACCAGGCAAGTAGAATATCATATAAATGTTATCGATGGAAGAAGAAAATATGGCATTCTATGGAAGCACAAAGAAGAAATGTTTCATCCTCTAGCGGAGGTTGAGAGAACTTTCTTGGAAGAAATGACACCTAAGTTGAGACTTCAGGATACAGAGGTATTAGCCAGGTGAAGAGGTACCCTGAAGTGTTCAAGGGCCAGAGAGAAAGTGGACCTGGTGTCCATGCATTGAACTGGCTCCCAAGTTCACTGTGGCTAGAGCAGAGAAGCAGGGAGAAGGGGAAAGTGTGTGTAGGGCGAGGCAGCAGGGGAAGATAGGGAGAGAAGTGTATAAAATGTGTTCCATCCCAGCCTTTGTCTTTTGTTATGTTAGCAAAGGAAGAACAAAGAAAATCATTTAGAAAAGTCACATAATTCAAAGCTGGCAAGATAATCATTAGGGAAGGATTAAGGTCTCATTAGGCATAAATAAGAAATAACTGAGTTAAAATAATAGAAAAGTGATATGCACTCTTGGGGCCCCTACCATTACACATATAAATGCTGAGAGAACTGTTAGAAAATTTTAAGGAATGATTTCAATTAATGTACAATTAATAAGGAGCTACAAAATAGATGACCACAAAAATATATTACTATAAAAGCTGACTAAAAAATATATGTAGGAATTTTTAAAATCCTTAAAATTACTAATCAAGAAATGTCCTTTAAAGTTGGCAACAAAGACATGGATTTAGTATCCTAGTTAAGGGTAGCCTTCTAAGCACCTTAAGGTTTACTATTTACTAGAATACAAGCCCCATGAGCTTACATTTTGTTCACTGCAACTCCCTCAGTGCCTAGACCAATGTTTCTAGCAGGTACTCCAAAAATACTTGGTTAATTAATGAATTAATGAACAAAATAACTAAGTCATAGTAAATGGTTTCAAAGAAAATCTAAATAAGGTTTGTAGATGTTTATGACGTAAGTTTTCTTCCCCATTTTAAAGTAAGGAATACTAATTTTTAAAATTATTACAAAGATGAGTAGAGATAAGAAAAATAATCTAAACTCAGATAATGACAGCATTGTGCAATGTATTTCCTGCCGACACTTTTTGTATACACATTTTAATTGACATAATATTTCACACAGTGGATCTATATGCGTTTATTTTTATACTGATTTTTCACCTATCAGATTCCATCCCCCACCATTTTTCCATTGTCTTCATATGCAGTGTTCAAATATCTTCATAATATTCTATTTCAAGACCTACCACAGTTTAGCCAATCTCCTATTTGGAAACATTTAGACTGTTTAAAAATTTTCACTATCGTAATAATTCTGTATTAAGGCTTTTGCACATGAAACGCTGTAGAAACACATTTAAACCCTTTAGTACCTGAAGTCTTAGGTTCTATCAACTTCAAAAGCATGAATTATTAAAATTTATCAGATTCTCTTAATACTTTAGTTACTCCAATTCTACTGAAACTACAAAAGATATTTAAGATAGAAAAGACACATTCTGATCATGTTTTACATGACACACCAGATAATCAGTCTTTTTCATTAAATTCCATACTAATTTCTGTTTTACTGCTGATTTAACAACAGATGGGAAAGATCAATTACATTAACAGGGTTTATTCCTTTTTCTAGAGCAGAATGCAGTTCTAAGGAATATCTGTGAGGGCAACAGTAGCTGCTCCAAGTTGGAGACATTTTATGACTAATGAAATTAACTTTATCATTACTAATCCAAAAATATCAACACTCTGCAGGTCACCAAACACAATTTCCTACAGAGCTTTTACCAAGAAAGGACCTTGGGAAGAAGGACTAAAGAGCTCCAAATCTCCCTTCCCAAAAAAGGAGGCAAGGAATGATAAATATGGCAATTTTTCCACTGAATAGATGCAGGAAAATATTGAAATACAGAGTATCTTGGCTGATAAGCAACTTGCCATGTTGTAAACCTAGCCAAGTCCAGATGGTAGAAAGGAGGAACACAGCTGGGAGTGTACTTGAAATTATTATTGTCATCTTGATGACAGAATATAAAGCAGTTCAGCCAACAGCATAGAGAGGAGAGTTATCATTTAAAGAATCAACATATTAGTCTCTTTCAGGTCTTCCGAATGATCCAGAATGGAGGACTTTAAAACCACAGGTATCAAAAAATAATAGCTTTACACACAAGGGAGGTAACTACCTCCTGCAGCTCAAATGTGGATGAGGCTCCCCTCATATGTTTTTAATTTATTATAATCATTAACAGATTAACAGTTCAATTTTCACAGTCCATTGAGTAGTAAAAAAGAGCGAGCAACTCCAATCTTACATGGCAGAAGCCCAGATGAAGTAATCTAATAGCGATTTTAAAAAACTATTTGTCAATGAGTTATGAAAATCAACTACTGTTTTATCAAGAAACATTAAAGTACAGAAACAAAAAACATGTTTTTACTACAAAGTTGCAAAATTTCCTGCATAGTTCGCTCCAGAGGGCTAGCATGATACATGCAGCTGAACAGCATCCCCTCTTGTTCAAAAGCATTCCTTTCTCCAATACCCCTTTCTTCTCCTTTTTTTCATTAGGGGGGAAAAAGGCAAGAGCAGAGAATGGCACATGATAAATATCTTCATTATATGCCCTTCCTTCTTCTTTTTTCCAATTGCCCTTCACTCCAATGACTTATCTTTTAGTTTCAGAGAAATAATTTCTGGCATAGTGATATCCTTTTAGAAACATGAATGTTTCAAGTTAGATTTAACATAAAAATTTCCTACAGTTAAAGAGCTTAGATTTGAGCAAGATGTAGATGAGAGAGAGAGAGAGAGAAGAGGGGAGAAGGTGACAGGAAGGAAGGGGTAGGGAAGAGACTCACTTTTTTTGTATATTTCTTTAATATGTACCTTAGAAAAATGGCCCCTTTCAGTCCTTCTTATGTACAACAACTGTTAGTTGTTCAAAATTCATGTATGTCGGGAAAATTGACAAAAACATTGACCAAATATAACTCCTGCACTTGATTGCACTAATGGACTAACCCAGCAACCCTGGCATTAGAACACATGGAAACATACTATAGATTTAACAAACCACCAAGATAACACACTGTACTAAAGTCACATGGCTTAAAATAAGCCTCTGTAGTCATAATCTCTGCTATATTTCTTTTGAGAAAAGAAAAAATTAAAATGCAATTAAAATAACAGTGATTCTCACTGAAGCATCAGGAACCAAGAAGACCCAAGTGTTCTCAGGGTCAAAAATTTTTGTGAGGACAGAACGTTTTCAACGCGGACTCTCAAAATCTGAACTGGCAGGAATGAAAACAGCAGGAGCAGCAAGGGAAATAACACAGTTAAGAAGAGGAAGTAACAGACACTGCTTTCATCATATATTGGCTCAGTTCCAGCTGTAGATGAAACCAATTATATACTGGTGCATTTTGCATATTTCCCTTTACTAAGAATATTTTCAAATGAAGGGAAACAGAAGATATCATTTTATCAGGCTTTGAATGCTCTGTTCCTAGAACTTTTTGCAGTGAGATTTGAAATTGAGTCACTTCATTATAGACTAAAATTTATTCATCTAATAAATGTTTGTGTGCCTACTGGGTGCTAAGGTTGCAAAAGTGATTCATATAGCCATGATCTCTACCTCCAATGGGGGATACAGCTTATGTGGGGATAGATATAAGTGAAACGGTACTTACAGTGTATTAAAAGTAAAGAATGTTATTAAAACACATAAGCAGGGCATCTAACCTTCCTGGGGTGAGGGACGGCTTCCTGGAGCAAGCAGTGGGTCAGTGGAGACTTACAGAATGAATGGGAGTGGCGAGACAAGAGTGTTCTTCCAGAAGAGAAAACAGCACATGCAAAGGCTCAGACACAAGAGGCAGTATGACACGTTTGAGTTGCTGAAACAATTTTTGTGCAGTGGAAGCACCGAGTGCCAGGTAAGGGCTTAGAAAGAAAAGGCGATAGCAGGAAAAATGAGCAAGACTTTGAGGTATAAATCTCAAAAAGAGGTAAGAAGCTCACATATAAACTGACCTAAAAAATAAAGGGCTAACAAAAGCAGATTTCTTATTGTCCAATTATTTCTAATACCGCCAAAAACTTATATACTATAGGAAGCTTCGCAAAATTTCCTTATCGGTCCTTTTCAAATAGGGAGATGGGATTATTTGTTCTCTTTCAGGTCAGAGACTATCCTTCCAGGGCCCACGTAAAGTATGGAGTTTTGTTTTCATCGAAGAAGGCAGCACTTTTTTGCACCTCCAGCTATGCTATGTTAATCAAAGATATGATGACATCATCACTGTTCTTAGTGCTTTAAATAATGAGATTGTTGTTGTAACACTACACTCTAGTTAAACTGCAATGCAACTGGTATGCTCATGTACTTCAACTGGCATTATAAATTGTTACCACACAACAGAAGCACAACTGAGAAATACGTATTAAATCACAAAAGGTAATAGAGTCTTCATTTGTTAGAAACATTCCTGTGAAAAAGTTCATATAATGAAAAAACAGTTAAGACCTCTAATTTTTATTGAGGCATTTTTTTTTAATAGAAACTAATGGTGAATCAGTGTCCAACAGTAAGGAAAGACTGAGTCAATTACTGTGTATGTTAAGTTTAAAAAAAAAAGGCAAGATACAAAAATCACATGTACACAATATCAACTGAGTAAAAAATATTTTAAAAAGTGACTAGAAAGAAATATTCATGACAGTAGTTATGACAGGGTGATAAGATTTGTTCTCTATTTTCTAGATTTTATGTAATATGGATATATTATGTTTAAAGATTTATTTTTTCAATAATAACATTAATAACAATAGCTAGCATTTATATAACATGTAACATGTTCTAGGTGCTTCATATAAGTGAACTCAATTACTCCTCATCATAAAGTCAGTGTAATTACCATCTCTGTTCTACAGCTGAGGGAATAATGAGGCTCAGAGAGGTCACATAACTCACCTAAAATCATACAATTGAACCAGGCAATCTGGCTCCAAAGTTCATTCCCTTAACCACTAAGCTACACTCCCCTCTCAAAAATATAGGATTGAACACCAGATCCAAATTCAAACAAGAAATTTTCCCTTTCCATAAATCTAAAGTATCACTAATGGTTCCTGCAGAACCCAAGAGCCTTATGTTCTTTCAGGATGTAAATTAAGAGGATAAATGGTGTGGCATTCATAGTGGTATTTAACAGATGGTCAGAAACTACATTTCAATAGCTTTTTATAGACTCCTTGTGGGTCAGCATATACAATCTCTACATTTTATTATCCCCCTCCTTGCAGTCATAATTTCCTGCCCCATTTTCTCAATACTAAAAAACGTATACTATGTCTACAGGACATTTTGTAATAATTATTTACTATAAATCTAGATCATGAATCAACCTTTCTTATGCATGAGAATCATCTCGAGTGCTTGTTAAAAATGCAGGTGCCCCAGCTCACCCCTAGAAAGTAGACCAACAAAGCACACTTTAAGAAACTGCTTTACTTCTACTACTTCTTACTTTGTAACATAAAAGATTTATCTGGGACATAAAAACATAACATTTGCTATTGTCTACCAGCATTGCCAGCACATTCAGTGCAATTTTTTAGACCTTATTTCGCATGACTAAGAAAGACCAGTTTCATGCAAGATACAGAGAATCAATCTCACTTTAGTCACATCTTGTATAGATGACTCATAAAACCAGCTCAGAGAGTGTGCACATCAGAAAGTGTAATCTCCTTTCTGCTGCTTGGTCAGATTTTTTAGAAATACGCTGTTTCCAATTTCTTATCAGAAAAGTATTAATTATAGTCAAACCTGATTTCTTGTCCAGTAATAGTACCAATGGATATTTTGAATAATTTCTTCCTTCAGTGACACAGGATAGTGGAATATGCCACAGATAGCTGTAAAAAGAAAATATTGGAAAATTATTACTTTTCCCTGTATTTCAGTCGGTTATACATAGTTTGTTGGGTAGTTTTTTTCGCAGGAAAGTGAAATTTTTCAAGCTATTCCCAGAAAGGGATAATCTTGTTAGGTTTCATAAGAACCTATGATTATGAAACATTTAAAAACACTTGAACCTGAGAGGACAAAAGAGATAGCAGGGAAAGAAAGAGGGCATGCACCTTGCATCTGAAGGCTGAATTTCAGGCTTCACATTTAAAAAGAATCTTTCTTGTTGTACAAGAAGTTGCTTTCCTTTTCTTTGAACAGTCACCAAAGGAAATCCTTTCTGCAGGGTCCAGGTTTTCATCATTTTCTTTACATCCAGTGTTTTGTTTGTGACCTATTAAAAAAAAGAATAAATTATTTTTACTTAAACAGTTTAAAAACTTTACAGTTTGTCTGTACTTTCCCTTCTTCCCTACCACATTCTATGAAGACTGCATTTAATGCTAATATAAAAAAGAAGCACGAATGCTGAGTTGAACGTACATTTCTAATCTAGGTAAGTGAGCAACCGTTAAAAGGAAAGTAACCTGGAACAGAACTAAGTGATAACTAAAGAGAGTGAGAGAGGCACTATGTTGGAAAAGCAGCACATATGATATCAACCAACTGAGCATTCACTAAAAACCCTAAGAGGGTATATGCGCTCCTTCAGGTCACAATACCACCATCTAGAAGGAATGAAGAATGACAGAGAGCCTAGAATCGGAAGCACCGCTACTCCCATGAATCAGCTGAGTCCAGATTTCTCTTTTTTCCCCAGACTCTCTGCTTTTATAAATGTTCAAGTTCATCTTTTAAAGAACTAATATTGTGAGAGCACCAGGGAGCAGCAGCAGTAGAAGAGTAAAATATAAACAGGTCGGTCACCTCGACTTTAAGTCTCTCTAGAGAACAGTGGTAAACTTTTTTGAAAGTCACAGACCCTCTTTCCCAGAAAACACATGAACTTATCTACAAAATCTAGAATCCAGTGTCAGAGGCTCACAGACCCTCTAAAGCCCATTGTCCCTAAGACATCTGGTATCAATGATTAAGAAGCAACTTGCAAACAACTCTCTTTAAAGCAGGTTAGTTAAACCTATGATTCAAATTACTTTTTTAGATTACATATGGATTTGAATTGTAAGCAACTAAAATAAAGTACTGAAAATGTTTGGTAATATCACTCCATTATAGCAGGCCTTACCTCAATCACTATATGCCTATTTATCCTTTTACAGTTTTTCCACTTCCCATTCATTTTTTTTCTATACTCTGCCTTATGATTCCTGCTTTTCTTTCGTGGCAGGAAAGGATGAAGCAAATCTTCTCAAATTCATTATGATATTAATCTTAGATTTTTCATGGCTCTGACCTATTTATTTCTGGACAAGGGGTTGGGAAGAGCACAAGCCTGCCCCAAGCAAGGCACTTTTGGGTCTTTGAAACAAAACTGAAACGAAGAGGCCAGTGCATAATTTGATGTGGATGCTGAAAAACCTGAGGAGAATGTTAGGGACTCATTTGGGAAATGAAAGGAAAACACTATGATGCAAAAGTTGAAGTCAGTGAGGAAGGCAGAAATATATTCTAAATGTCAGGAGATAATACAAGTGTATAAAGTAAATAATATGGTTTTCAATTGAAATGCAACTATATGATAAGAAGAAAAACAATGATTTGGAAGCAACTCTTAGTGATAAGGACTGATCCCTCTTGTCAAAGAGAACTCAGAGAGCAAGGAAGGTATATCTTTTGGGCAAAAGATTAACTGCTGAAAAATACCAGGTTTCAGATAAGGCAAAGAAGCAGAAAGAATATATGGAAAAGATCCAGAGCCAGAGGTTCTTAACCCACGGTCCATGAAACTTTGAAACTGTGTGTGATATTTTGCATTTTTGTGGGTTTTCTGGGGAATATGTCCAGAACTTTCATCAAATTTTCAAATATGTCTGTGATCTTCCACAACACAAAGAACCATTGATCTAGATCAGGATAACAAACTCAAATGCTTGGAAGGGTTATGTAGTTAGCACGCATGCACGATGCAGGCTCAGTTCGTGCACTGCTATGAAGCATAACTTGTACCTAATTACACTGCTTGCTAGAGTATCTGCAGGCACAACAAGAGGCAAACAGCAAAATGACCCAAAGGGAGTATGCAGCCCACGGCAGCCAGCCTGGGATATATCACCTACTCCAGAGAAACATGGCCACGAAAGACAGGAGGAATCATAGGGCAGAGTATAGGGGAAAAAATCACGAATAGGAGGTGGAAAAACTGCAAAAGCATAAGAATAGGAAAAGAGATTTTTGAAAAAAAATAATTAAAATATAATAAAATACATTAATTCAGAAAAGACAACTTTCCTACAAAGTAGGAATGGAGATTAAGGTTTGGAATAAAAACGGTTACACAACCCATATACAATTTTTTCAACAATTAAGAGTAGTACTTCCATTTCTTGACTTTTAATTCGGTGCTCTATTCATAAATATTTATGTACTATGCTCCATCTCCCTCTCTCTTAAATAACTGTCCTTGGTACCATAGCTTATTTACATAACTGACAAAAATAAAACCAGAAGAACTCCTCCCTTCTTACTTTAAGAGCCAAATAAAATATCCAGGTCACTTACCTCATTAAAACTATCCCACAGATCATCACTGTGAATGGCTGCATAGCTATGATTATGCAGGTAAAGAACAACAGCATGTTGAAACACATCTTCACTAAGGTAAGTTTTCAGCATCAACAAGAGAGAGGCTCCCTATTCAAAAAAAAAAAGTGAGAAAGAAAAATAATCAAATACAATATGTTTAAATAATAGAATACAATAGGTTCATAGAATTGAGAATCTAAAATTTAAAATATCATCATTTTAAGCATATACTTTCATATATAGAACCTAGTTATAATACACTGTTATTTAGTCTCATATAACCAGATGTGGACTGTGTTCAAATTGTCTTAAAAATCATTTTAAGGGATTTGAAAAAGACATAATGGAGTAGATTCCCATGTGCACTAAGGTTACTATGAGCCATTTTGCGTGGTCTATCAGTTACTCTCTGTTTGTGTTAGTGTTAAAAAGCTAAGTGTTTATAAATACATTTTTAGTAGAAAAACATGTCATATTTTCTGTGGCACCCCCACCCCTACTCCCAATACTTAAAGTTACCAGCTGCATTCATGGGCACTCTGCTGGAGACTAATTAGCAGAACTCTCAAAAGTCTCTCTGCTAGGGAGTACATTAATTTCCAATTCCAGTATATCATACTGCTGAAGCAACCAAAATCTCTCTTCCTCCTGCAGAGTCACTTCAAATATGTTTGGAACTAAGGAATGTATAGGGCAGTAGGCATACACTAATAATTCAGAATCAGGCATGCAACTATCAAGGCCACACTATATTCACTGATGCACATGTCATCATTCCAAGTCTTGAAACAAACAACACCTCCCCTGTGAAGCCTTCCCTGATTTGAGATAGAAATCATATTTATCCATCTTCAAAAGCAATTTATATCACTTCCTGCATCTGCTATAGATATATATTTATTTCCTCTTCTAGACTGTATGCTAGTTGAGGGAACAACTAAAAAGCTCAACTCCAATGACCAACACAATGCCTAGTACACAGTAGGCACTCAAATAGTTTTTGAATAAATTTCGCTTCCAATAAAAATTCAGCAATGTTAAGTCATCAAGATTATCAGATATACATAACTGAATTTAATACCTATTACTCTTATTTCTATATCACACTTCACAGTGTTACTTGCTCTATAAATTTAAGTACTCATTCTTGTTCCCAACAGTTCCCTTTCTCTCCTGCATCACCAACTTTCCCTCTCTACTGTCACATTTCTGTTAACAAACAGAAATCATGTAACATTCCTCATTTTACACAAATAAAAGATGCTCTTCCTTTCCTTAACCCTATGCCTCTTCCAGTTATCACTCTATTTCTTGTTCTCCTTTTGAAGTAAACTCCTCAGAAGAGTTGTATGCATTTGCCATCTCCACTTGCTCTCTTTCCATTTTCTCTTGAGCCTTCTTGCAACCATCACTGCACTGGAAGTGCTTTTATCACTGGTGAACTCCATGGCGTCAAACCAATGTCAATTCTCAGGCTTACCTCACCAACCTACTCGTAGCATTTGATATGACTGACTGCTCACCCACTCCTCCTTGAAGTCTTTCTGCACTTCACCTTGGGACAACACTCTTGATTCTCCCCCTATTCACCGGGCATCCCTCTCAGTCTCTTTCGCTGGATCCTCCTCATCTTCCCAAGGACTAAATTTTGGTGTCCACTGGCATTTAATCTTCAGATCTCCTTTTTACAGACCTTATCATTTCATTCCTGCCCTACACTACTCTTCCCATTCCTCTTTACCTGTATTTTTCTTATTATTTAACTCACTTCAATTTCCATTTTCCTCCAAAAAATTTTTCTTCATAATCCCAGGCAAAAATACTCTGTGCCATTCATTTAGCACATATTAGTTATCTCTTATTGCTTCACAAGTACCCACGACCTAAACTTTGAGTTTCTTGATGACATAGACTATATCTCACATGTTTTGTGTATTTTCTTCTCTGTCTAGCACAGGAATTCAATAATCAATTAGTCTGACAGCCAGAGTAAAAAGGCAAATAAGCCATAACATTCACCCCTCCCTCCCAACATAAATGCGAGTGGTATTGATATCCCTATTCCTCTGTTCTCTGACCTATGGTGATCCTAATCAGGTTTCTAGTTTTCTTTTTTTGCTTTCCCCTCAAATCTACAGTCTGTGTTTCTGATCCTGCAATCTAATCTCCAATTCTTGAAATCTCTTTTTGCTTACTATTTGTTTTGGCAATCCTGACTTTGGAACATACCTCAATCCTAAATAACACAGCCAAGGGCTTGCTTAGAACCCTCCCTAGACATATTCTACCTGTAAATCTGGAGAGTGAACCACTTTAAAAGATATATTGCTACAAGATCTGGTTAACTGCCCAGAATACTAGTCAGAGAACTTAAACAAGAGACAGAGAAAGAAAGAAATGCCCAAGAAAAGTTAAGACCAAGATTTAAATAGAAGCAAACATCTTAAAGTTTAACAGGACACCTGAAAATAAGACTCATTTAATCTTTAAAATGATTTAAATCATGCAGCTTGCTCACATATGAAATTAATTTGAAACCTACTCCAGGTACTTTTTGTGCACAGCAGTACCTTAAAATAGGAAAGAGAATCAAACATTTCTTCAATCTGTTCTGAAGACTGAACAGATGATGATGATATTGGATGAGATGAATTCAAGGAATCTTTCTTCATGGTTTTAAATCGAGCATCTAAGAAATCTTCATACTAGCAAAAAATGAAATAGATTAGGAAACCACGAACAGTATCAAAGGTGAAGGCAAGTCTCGTAATTATTTATAGGAATTAGACTAATTACTATTTAAGGTCATTATAAAAAAATAACCAGATTCACTAAACTTCAGAACATAAGCTTTTGAAAATGTAGGAAGAATGTGACTTTCATGCATATTCCTTAAATTTAAAAATAAAACTATAACCTCCTGGCCATATGAAAAACAGTGTTTCCTAAACAACAGCATAAGGATGAAATAAGAATCTATTACTAAAGCAACTAAATACCAAATCCGGATATTCAAGATGAATATTCTAAAAAGGTTAGTGTATATTTTAAAAATAAAATTGGAAATTAAAAAACAAAAATAAAACTGGTCCTTAAGCTGATTTCTCATATATAGTCCACCTTTTCTATTAAGATAATATACATTTCCCTTAACTGAGGTTCATTTGAAATAAAATATAACTCTTAAATAGAAAGAATTCTTTGACAGCTCAGCAGATGAACTGCCCTAGAGTATATGTTGGAAGTTTTTAAACATTCTGGGCACCACCAAGTGGTGAAACTGTATATCTCATTGCTTAATTAAGTAACATACACAGATTTAGGACACCTTACTTAGTATTCTAGCTAAAAAAGAGTTCCTTCTACCATTTGAAATTTTTGAACAGGCCATACACAAAAATTTCAAATTGAAAGCTCGAAGAGTACTCCTGTTTTGAAGCAGTCTTGGATCATACATCCAGGAAGTTTAGTAGAAAGTCACAGAATTTTAGGGTTAAAAAGAATCTTTATACTTGCCCACCTATTGTTTGAATTATTTGGCAATATCTGTCATATTATGATCTAGTGTGTCCAAATAGCTCTAAGGATGGGAAAAATCTCCAGAGAGTCTAATAACACAGTGACAACAGTACTATGCTCTTTCTAACAGAATGGTGTTCCAAGTCTTTGAAAAGGCCACAATATATGGTTTGTACCTAAAAAGGGCAAATTATTTGTCTGTATCAACCTATGTATCACTGTTACAAGAGTGTTCACAATGACAATAGAGAGACAGCATTGCTACAACATGTCAATTTTTTTTCTCTTTATACACAGGACAAAAGTTTTGTTTTGTAAAAATAGGCTTTTCAACTTTATTTAAATTCCTTCAAGCAGAAAGGCCACATCTATTAAAAATAAAATGTAGCAAAGCAATTTAAAAGGTTCATCTTAATGACAAAGCATAAAATAATTTCATATAGTTTCAGTTTTCCATGAAATATATCAGTAAATAAAACAATAATTTTCATTGTTAAATCTCAAAAAGTATAGATATAAGTAACAAGGGTCAATTTTACTGTATCTTTCTAGAAATATTTTCATTATTCCAAATGCACGGAAAATACATGGTGCATATGATTTGACTATTTTTCCCCCTAGCATTCATAGTAGGCCTAACAAACACTGTACTTACACTGGCGAGCTCTTCAAATATTTTTTCCAAAGAGAAATACTCCATGAAAGTAGCAAAACCTTCATTTAGCCACAGATCATTCCACCACTCCATTGTTACCAGATTACCAAACCACTGTGGGAAAAAACACACTACTAACCAACACAATATTTACATTCTCAAGAATTTTCTAATAATTCTATCATCAGATTAATCACCTATAACCAGATTACAATTACTTAAAAATATAGTTATTATAGTTAAAACAAACTATATTCAAATTAAGGACTTATAAAAGTTGTATAAATTTACTCTAAAAGTAAAATAAAACTTTTAACATTTTACCTTAATTGAATGGGAAAACAAGCAAGAAAGACAATTAGTGTATTTACAAATTTAACACACATGCTATATACTAGGTAAACAAAAACAATTTTTAGCCACCTCATTAAAAGTGAGACTTCGCAGATAATGAAATTCTTCTACTTCCTAATATCAAGTTAGTAAGATTATTTTCCATTGTATCTACAACCACCCAGGACAACTAAAAAATAAATTTTCTATCTGAGAGATTTTCCTATAGTCAGAGAGCCCATGCATCACGTTTCTTCTCAGTTACCCAAGTTGAGGACAGTATTTACATGATTCAAACAGAATTCAAACAACATTTCTTAAGAAAGTTGGCAAGCATGTAAAATAAATGAAATCAGAAAGATCTTTAAATGTCTACTTCTATGAGGTAGTAAGAAGGAAAAAAATGATAGGAGATTCTTCTAAAAGAATGTATCTCAAAAACCCCTGAAATAAAGAGTGGTAACGGTACGTTACTATTGTCGAGTCGACTCTGACTCTAGCAACCCTGTGTACAGCAGAGCGGATAGCATTTTCATCTGAAAATTAAGTTTGTGTTAAAAAAGCATCATTTTATTATGAAAAAAGGCAATACTATAATAATAAAGCTGAATTATTATTAGGATCTAAATCTATTCTAAAACTCTTGCATATGAAATAGACCACAAGTATGAGATATAACAGCCTTGGTTGCTAATACCTGATGGGCCAGCTCATGAGCGATGATTTTAGTAACCAGTTTTCTATCTGCCACTGAAGAAGTATTATTGTCATACAGAAGGGTCTCTTCTCGGAAGGTAAGCAAGCCCCAATTTTCCATTGCTCCTGCTTCAAAGTCAGGAATAGCCACCAAATCTGGAAATAACAAGAAAGAAGTAATCAACTTTCCCTCATCTAAGGCACTTCCTAGTTAAACCAAAATATTTTACCCATTGGTTTATCGCTGTGAATCAGGAGGGAGTGAGTTCATTTTACACTCCTAAGGAATGGGACCTTCCTTACTCTAGCCCTGTATGCTCCTCACCTATCCATCACCTCAGGAAGATCTGATCAAACCCCTGCAGAGTCACTGCTCCACTGTCCCTCACCAAAGGAAGAGATACCTAACTCCTCTACAATGAATCAACTTCCCAGAGCAAGGGGGACAAAGACAGGGCCAACTCTCTTCTATCTAGGACCAGATCCACGTTGAATAGCACGGAAATGCTCTTGCTCTCCTGAGCTCCCATTACTCAGTTTTTATTATTTGACTCAGGAACTTCTTAGGAAGTTAGAGTTAGTCAAACTCCAGACTAAGCCCTAATCAAATTCCCACTTACACAGCACCTTTGTAACAGCCCCAACAAACTTCTAAGTGTTTTAAGCTCCACGTTCAGGTACATTCACGGAATCTAAATAATCTTAACAAATACAATTCCTAAAGCATTAACAGCATTTCTTTTAAAATAACTTGGGCAAAAGTTCTTCCTGAAAAACATTTGCAGAATGAATCTAGGTTATAATGGTAAAGAAAATCAGAGGTACCATTTGATTCTTACCCAATTTCTTAAGTGGGTATTGAATTTCAAAGTAGTTTTGATAAAACTCAAGAAGCTTCACAGTTGTTTCCAAGGCATGGTGAACTTGACCAATCTTTTCTGGTACAGCATATATAGAAACCTAAAGGAAACATGTACGATGTAAGAACAGGTACAATTAAAATGGCATGATCCTCAGGTGAACACTGTCAAGACTAGTATATAAAGGATTGCATAGAGTTGTACAAGATTTTTCAGGACAGAAAGTCTTGCTTATTGTTCTTTTAGCTCCCACAGAGTTCAGCAAGTCACTTCCATACATACAACAATGTTCAAAAAACTTAGATTCCTTATTTTTAAAAGTTAACATAACAACTAAAATGAACTACTTTGGGTCATGTTATAGCAATTGATAAGCATGTGCCCATTTAATTTTATAATACTCTTCTCCTCCTCTCCATTACCTACAGTTGCCATTCCTCACCTATGAGCTATCCAGATTGCGAATTATTCAAAGGACAAAACTAAATTTTCATCCTTTTAGCACCTATCACAGTACCTGGTATCGAGCAGGCACTCAATACAGAGGAGTCACATCTTACGAGGGAGTTAGTTCTAAAGCAAACACATAAGGCAGAAAGTGCATATTAGTTGAAATTACCCTGGAAAAACCTATTAGAGACCAGCACATTCTCTTTCAGTAAGTATGGCACAGCCCGTTTTATTTCCAGCCTTGGGACAGCTTACCTTTTTCCCAGTTGTTGGCTTGTTTTTACGGACCACGTTACATAAAAAAATAATCGTACCCAGCAGAGTGACACACTCAGTGAGCAGCACACAGTAACCAAAACCAACCAAGGGGACAACAGATTCATGCCCCCATTGCCCGTCCACTCCAGGGCACATGCTCACGAAGGGGGAGACAGGGGCAATCACCCAAGAAAGAGTTATTCTTTCTCTCTTTTTCTGACTAAGGGCATAAGTTAAACACATACGATGGGACTAACTGTAAATGTCTTATTTATTAAGTTATCAAAAGGCAAAATTTAAGCCCTTATGTTAAAAGCAATGGGTTTTTAAAAGCAATATTTATTGTTTTTCAATTGATTGGGGAAAAAAGCCCTCTATATTCACCTGGGGAAGTGGGATGTGGGCAAGACATAGCAGAAAGTAAAAATCTCAAAATAAAGATCTCAACATGTGAGAAATGGAGACTTACTGAATAATTCATCATTTGGACAAAATACATTAGTGAACTCTAACTCCAAATTAATTTTAGTCTCCTATTTAAGGACTGAAAAACTGTCAAGAATTTCTAAGAGGTCAAAAAGATTTCAGCCATAATTGTCTTTATGCGGCACTTCAGTCTGTGGAACATATGCGTTAATCACAGAAACATGGAGGTAACATCGCACAAAAATTAAACGCAAAGAAAAAAAATGTTTAAGTAAACCAACAACAAAATGAAATGTACAGGCTCTGTAGTTTGAGTGCCAGGTTCAAATCTCTGCTAGTTGTGTGACCTTGAGCAGGTTAGTTGATCTCAGTCCCCTTATCTGTAAAATGGTGACAAAAGTAGCTCCAACCCTCACAGGGTTGCCATGAGGATAAAATGAGCTAAAATGTACATAGAACTTAGAAGAGTGCCTGACACAATGTAAGTGTTCAATAAATGGTAGTTATTACCATTATTACAAATAGAGTCTCATCACAAATGGGGCAAAATACGTGTGAGTAGAGCACTATGGCAACTGCTACCGGAAGAATGAAATGTCTAAGATTGGAGTTAGCCAATTAAAAATACTTCAATAGTATTATATATATACTATATAATACTTCCATAATTGCTTTCTAAAGTACCTATGGAAGAAATTTAATCTCCCACATCATGTGGCCAAGTGTACTTCACCAGCCCAGAACTCTGCCATCTGCAGCCATTGGTACAGGCTGTGACCACAGCTTACTGAATTCAGTCACCACCTGCCAAAGGAACTACAAGCTCATCCCGCTGACATGGCACTTCCCGCATCTTTCCCCTCTCGAAGCCAGTGTTAGCGCTAAAAAAAAAAAAAATGGCCTGACATATTCTTTTTAAATCTTTAACTATCATTTTAAATGACTGTGCCAAGATCACTTGGAATTTGAGATAAGTCTTTATTATCACTGCCTGTTCTTTCCAGACAATGTATTTTGCATTATAGTTCACACAATCATCTGGAAGATGCTATCCCAACAGGAACACCACTCATATTCCCCAGATTCCTCCTTAAACATCCTTCTGCCACACACACCATTTAGCCACTCCCATCACTATGTGTGAAAGCACCTTTCCTTAGAGGAAAAGCAAAGGGAGAAAAAAGAAGTTCACATGAAAGTAAAACCAGACCAAAGGATCAACTTAGTCCCATTTCTGGAATACAATGATTAGGAAAAAAAGTAATTTGGTATTTTCTCTTTCCTTCTATTTCTTTTCTTTTTCCTTAAAAGAACATGTGCTATGAGTTCTCACTAGAGATAAATCATCTGGTCATTATAATTATTATCAAGCTTGTTTTAGTGCAACAGAAGCAGTAAGAAATAAACAAAGAAAGCAACCCAGCTCAACAAAGATAATCTTGACCAAGATGCCAGGGCTTGCTAAAAGCACCCTAAACACTGTTAAATGGAAGTCAACTGGCACTCAGGCCCTAAGACTTACAACTTAAAATTTTTCTTGCAAGATCTCTTGGTGGGACCTTTGGGAGATTTCTAAAAGATACAACTTTAAAGACTCCTGGTCAGCTCTCAAAGAAAAGGGTTCTTTAAGACTGAGGATTTTGTTTTCCTTAATGTAATGAAAAACAAAAACTAAATAAAACAAAAGCAAATACAGAACCAAACCTCACCCCCCGCAAAGGGACAATAATATAGCCTGCAAGATTCATAAAGACAGAAAATACTGGAAGCTTCCAATACTAAGTTTCCTGAAAAACACCAGGTTTCATAAACAGACAGCTGAACACACAAAAAAGCATAAATTCCTAAGGGGAAAAAAAACAAAACACCAGTCTCAAGTCTATCCAGAATAACTAATTAGATGCGACTTGGGGAGAACGATATAAATCATGTAAAATGTCCCGGTCTGGTGGAGAGATACTTTACGTAGAAATGTTGTTAGTGGAAATTTGGAATTAATTCATGTTCCTGATTGAATATGAATAAATTGAAATTATAACTTCATATGGATAATACTGTTGAAGGTTCTGTTTGAAAGTTATATAGATATGGTATCCGCATCTGACTAACAACCATCGGATTCTGATTCTACAAATTAGACCTGTCTATGTAAAAACAAAATTAGGCAATGGCAAAAACAAAACAAAAACCTCAAGACAAACAGATAAAGTAGTGTATTTCAATACTGGCCTAGAATTTTCTATATAATTCTGGCATTCCTGAAGGCAGGGACAAGTTTAAGGAACACTGAAGAATGGCCAGAAATGATAAAACCAATGTCCCTCTTTCTTTAGGCCCTTGACAACATAGTAGTCTTTATCACTGAACATGACACATTTAATAATCTACAGTCAACTTTGACATTGTCAGCTGTTTGGTAAGACTGACATTAGTAAGTAAAGCCCTGCCGTCTTATTCCTGAATACTGTGAAATAGACCTAACGTCAAATATTGCAAAATAGAACCTATTCTAGATGTTACAGCATTTTAGCATAACAAAAATCCTTTGTTAGACTCCAAATATGAATTCCCGTCACCATACCTACAGAAGTTATTTATGTCATTTGGTATAAGAAGTAGCATGTTGTGGTAGACGGCACAACTCTGACTATCACTTACTGGCTATATAATCTTGGGTCAATTAGCCTCTCTGAGACACTGTTTCTTCATCAGCAATATGGGGCCAATGCCTCTCCCTCATTTGGTTTATAAAACGAAAAAATGTTTATAAATGAGTGCCTAGGACAGCTGCCAGCACAGAGTATAACTCTATGCATGTTAGAGTCTTCCTCCTTTCCTAATAAAAAAAAGAGAAAATTAATAAAAACAATTGTTTATTTGTATAATGTTAACTTTTTTCAAAACATTTACCACTGGGTAGCATTAAAAATAATGAAAATTATTTATATTTATAGACATACAAGGGAGTTCACAATATATTTGCACATAGAAAAAAGAGAGTGCACTTTCTGTGTGTGTGTGTGTGTGTGTGTATATTACTATCTGCCAGGTATTGAATATTTTACAGGAATTTAAAAAATTTAAACCTTAGGCAGTCTAATGTAAGCATATAGTAATAGAGCTGTGGGAGGTGAGGTGTAGAGAGGATGACAGAGCCATCTGCCCACCCAAAGGCACACAGCTAGTAAGCTGTACAGGGGGAATTTGACCCACGTAGACTCCAGAGCCCACATTTAACCATGTTGCTTCCTAATACAAGTAAATAAAAAACAAAAAACAAAAACAAAGTCACCTGAAACTTCCTCTCTCTCAATCTCTCCCTCCCTCCCTTCTTCCCCCTCTCTCTCTACATATATATATATATATATATATATAAATAAATATATAAATATATGAGAATGAGGTATATATCTGAGCAATGAATAATTCAGCTTGACTAGATGGAAGAATTCACATAGGAGCAATTGGAAATATAGTCAAATTTATATGAGGGCCTTGAACATCAGAATGATGAGTTTGAATGTAACCCTCCAGGCAGTAAGAAGCCAACATAGCAGTTGAAAGAAAGAAAGAGAGAAATGGAAGGAGGGACAGAGGAAGGAAGAAAGAGAGAGAGAGGGAGGGAGGGACAGAGGGAAAAGAAGAAAAAGCCAAGACTGCATACATTTTGGGATACAATAAAAAGTGCTGGGGGTTTTACATCAAAGAATGTGATAAGAACTACAAAAGGGATGTTACTAAAGTGCTATGAAAGATTAGAGAGGGAATCATTAATCCCAGCTGGGGAAAGAATGAAAGGATTCAGGGAGAGGGTAGTATTCAGCTGGGTGTTGAAAAAGCAAACCTGACTCTTCTAGATTGGGCCTTTTAGGTTTCAGCAAGGCAACATCTGAACCAAGGACTAAATTTGTGGTGCAACACTTGAACTGGAATTAATCGAATTTTTTCAGATTTAAACTAGTCTTA